TAAGGTAATCTAATGAAGCCTGTATTAAGGCCCTTATATTAGGAAGGCGTTCCCTTCCTTCCGCTTGGTTAAGAGGATCTTATGTCTAATATGTTCGCCAACCTAGAATTAGCAACCTTTCAGACCCCCTACAACCCTGAAAGACTTAACCTACCACCGGTAGCACCCGCAACTGCTTATCTTATCTACGATTACTATAGGCATCGGAATACTGAATCATAGTATGAGCACATAGTGGTCGTTATATACACACACTGATAGAATATACTGCTGCACCCCAAAGTCTTAAGTATATGGAAATCGAAACGAAAGATACCTGAGACGAAAGGGTTTCTGGGCTACAGGCAGGCATGCCTGCAAACCCCACGATCCCAAGACGCTGGGCCCTGAACCCTAAACTGCCCTAAACCTGTGGTCCCTCCAATCCTTACCTGTACAGGCTTTATCCTTGCAGGCCAAAGCTCTTTTTTGGTGCAGAGATTTCGCATCCTAGCTTATCTCTTAGAGAAGAAGAAGGGGCACGCTGAAACTTAAACACAAAAAACCCTAAACCCCGAAAACCCCAAACCCTAGACCCTCACTGAACCCTTGAAACGAATCACAACCCTGAACCCTTATAGAACCCTGCAAAGTCCGACAAACGACGTCACTAATCCCCAAACCCAAAACTCCTGGCCCCAGGACCCTTTCCAAAAGGAACCTCGTATAAACCCATGAAAGAACCCTTAGAAAGTACAGCAACACAGCTACCCATATTAATTGAAACTCTGCAAAGACATCCGATATTCGAATTATTCAGGCCTCTACTTTATGGAACCTTTATAGTCTAAGCCCTAAACCTTGAACCCCACACCCTAAACCCTGAAAGCTCAACCCTAAACCCTGAAAGCTAAAGTCTAAACCCTGCACCCTTTATTTTTCGGTGCACCGCAAGCCTCCCCCCCGGAGGCCACCCTGTGGAGTCCGCTCCTAGACTGCCTGGACCAGCTGAATGAGGACGTGGGGTTTTAGGGTTCAGGGGCTCGAGAAGTTTAGGGATTTAGTTAGGGTTTAGGGACTTTTTCTCCAAAGCCGAACAGAGTTTAGGGTTTTGTAGGACTAGGGTTTAGGGTTAGGGATTTGTTTGGGGTTCTGGGATTAAACCCAGTCCCTACGAATTTGTGGCAAACGAGGATGTGCCGGTGCCAGCGTGGCATAGTGCAACACCAGTCATCGCACTGCCGCGCGAAGATGTATCGACCTCACTCTGGTTCTGTGATGAACACGTGCCTATCGAGCACTTGCCGCTGCCGCTGCAGTACAGGCCGATGCTTCAGGCCTATGGGCTGCCAGAAATGACATTAAGTGTGGACAAGCTATCTGTCAGCTTGATTGTCTCTGTCATCGGCCGCATTGCTCAGGGATGGCTCGTGGTATTCCCAGCTCAAGACCCTTCTCGTTTGGCACTCCAGGATGAGGGAGAGCATTAAGCACCAATTGCTTCACATCACACTTTAGTGCTGCTGTCCACGCACCGTGGAGTGGATCTGCGCCGCAGGTCACCGCTGGCCGCAGTCCTTGATGGCATTGGTGGCAGATTTGCATTACTCGGAAGGGGATGGTGGCCACAGTTCGTGTATCACAACAAGCTTGTCCAGCGCCGTGACTCCAGATCGTGGGCAACTGAGGCTGGGCGCGCGCATCGAGAAACGCAATACTGGTAGTTTGTAGCGGACTCAACGGTTCCAACTTAACAAGGCGGTCGTGTTGATTTGCTGCTGTTCTTGCGATGACACGAGGACATTCTCCTGATTCATTAAATCTGATATAAGGTTGAGGCTTCAGGGTTGTGTTGGCTTTCGGGCTTTAGTTCTCGGCCTCAGGGCTTTGGTGCTTTGGGGTTTGAGAGTTTCTGATTTGAGTCTGAGGCTCAGGTGAGCTTTGAAGGTTCCTTACCGTGAGGGCAAGAGGCTTCTTTGAAGGGTTTAGGCATTTGGGGATTAGGGCTTAGGGTTTAGGGTTTAGGCTTTGGGGTTTAGAGCTTGCTCCTTGGAAGGGTAATGGCTTTGAGTTCAGGGTTGAGTGTTTTGAGTTTAAGTGGTTTAGGTTTTGCAATGTTGAGTTCCGTAGACCCTAAACCCTTAAACCATGCGCCCCAAAACTGAGCAGCCCAAACCCTAAACCTAACTCCCACTTTAACCCAATAAACCCTTAAACTCTAAACTGAACCCTAAGCCCTAAACCCTAAACACCTAAACTCTAAACTGAACCCTGAACCCTAACGCTAATGTAACCCCCCCCCCTATTGCTCTAAACTCTCAACCCTACATAGCGCTAAACGCTAAGCCCACAAGTCCTCTTCACACAGAACCCCATAAAGCCCCTGGAAAACCCTTATCGAAGCCTGAAAAGAACTCCCAGTGGAAGCCTTACAGGAACCTTTCAACCTTCAACCCTAGACCCTTATAATGTAGGGGTCTAAATAAATACCAATAATGGAAAGGTTGGGGGTTCCTTATTTTCATAAAAAGAATGGGCCCCAAAACCCTATTAAAATTGTTAAGGCCCCTATATTAGATCCCTTACAAGGGTCCCTCGGAGGGTAAAAGAAACCTTCAGGATCTCAAACAAAAACTCCGAGAGGAACCCTTGAAGGAACCCTGAAAACAACTTAGGGTTTAGCATTTGGAGTTTTGGGTTTAGGCTTTCGGGTTTAGCCCTTGCAGATCCATGTCACGGGTTCTATTCCAGGGTTAAAGTAGCCCTGAAAAGACTTCCCAGAGGAACCCCTTGAAGGAACCCGTATAACAAATCCTTAAAACACCAGGAAATCCGGCGTCGTCAGAGGGCGAAATACCGGCCTGGCCCTCGTGATGTTCCTTTAGGCTTAGGGTTTAGGGTCAATAGGTAGTCATAAGTGGTTTAGGGTCTGGGGTTAATGGCATGTTAGAAGCGGGGTTATGAGTAGGATGAATAACTAGTCTTATTGCCTATACTGCGCGAATTGCAACCCTGCTTATAGCTACCCATAAACCTACAAGTAGCAGTAGTAGTAGTAGTAGTAGTAGTAGTAGTAGTAGTAGTAGAGTAGACCTTAATGTATGTAGGGTTTTTGTGTGGGAAGGGTTTAGGTTTGGGTTTTCGGTGGTTTAAAAGTTGAGGGGTTTAGGGTACGCAGTACTGGGGTTCTTGTCGTTTTTGAGCTGCTTAGAATGGTTTTAGTAACTTCGTAGCCCTACAGATCTATCTAGCCCTGCCATATAGGGGCCTTAATCATTCGAAGAGGGTTTGGGGTAGACTATACTAGAATTATAATGAGGAACCCAAAAACCCTGTTCTAATTACGGCCCCTGCATTAGACCCAAAGTTAGGGGCGCGTGCTCATCTCAGGATTCACGACTGCTTCCCGCTTCAGGTGCGCGCAGGGTCAGGGGAACTGCCGCTTCGTTTGCAGGGTGCTTAAAGTTTAGGGCTCTTTTAAGGCTTTCTTTTATTTCCTCAAGCTTCGTTTAAGGGTTCCTTTGAGGGATCCATGGGGTTTATGGCTTTGGGGGTCAGGGTTTAGGGTTTTGTGGCTTTGGGGGTAAGTTAAAGGTTTTGAGGGCTCCTCTGTCTTAACTTGTCGCTTGAGCAGGACGGTTGGGAATTTCTTCATTGCTCGTGGATTCGAAACGCTTTGGCTTTTTCCAGAAGTCGGAATAATTGGCAAGACCTTTGCCTTGTTGTCCCTGATATTGCAGTCTACACACCGAAGCCTTATGTTATGTTGATTCCTTAGGCCCCTTCTATTTGCCCCTGACTTATGTTCTTATCAAGGCCCGAGACCGTACTAAACACAACTTCCGAAACCGCAGAGGGCCTTGACACGAGTGGACTGTACGATGCAGCGGCTCCTTTGTGGCTCTCTCGAAACCTTGAAATTATCAAGGCCCCTGTATTAGGGATGCGCTAACAGAAGCCCGCTAGAGCTCTCCGAAGTTTCGAACCAGATGAGGGCTTGAATTACTAGCGCTTCTATTCCAAAGGGGCTGCTTCTTATAATTACTTGTAGTTTAGTATACACCGACACCGCTGTCGTTAACTATTAAGTCTTCTACATGAAGGGCAGCAGCCAGGGCCACCAAATTGTGGAGCTCAAGCACTACATCATCCACCTCACTGTGCCATGGCAGCACCTCAGTCGCGCCTCTCTTGCTGGCGGGCGTTGATTTCTCAAAACCCCCAAAGCCCCAACTCTAACGGCCGAAAACCCTAGACTAAGCAATCCCTAAACTTAAGCCCAAAGGCTACAAAACCCCTAAGCCCTAAACTCTAAACCCTGCAGTTCTGGCTTTCAGTTGCCCGGTATGGAGACCCCGTGGCCCCATCCGTTGCTGATACGAAGCGAAGAAGCTTAATTCTCGAAGTCAGGGGCTCTTGGGTTCAGGGTTTAGGGTTTAGGGTGCTGATGTAAACGGCTGATGAAGGAACCCCCCTTACTTTCAAGAGAGATTCCAGTATGATCGGGATCCTAATCTTGAGGCTGCTGCTCTTCAGGTCCTGAAGGAAAGGGAGTTTATGAATCAAGGGTCCACATGTTTATGAATCAGGGGTCCACATGTTGAAGCTTCACCGTGGCGTTGGATTACATGTAGCCTCTGGCATCGGATGAGCCAGAAGCACTGACGATTCTTTGATCCACTACGTTCCATTGCCGCTGGCTCACCTATCTAACGTAGGGCCCTTAATTATTCGAATTGGGTCTTTGCGCATATTAAAGTATAGTTCGAATAAGGAACACCCAAAATAGCATTGGTAATTACTTAGGCTCCTATATTAAGCCTACAAGCTGAGGAGATTTGGTACGGTGCCCGCCGTGGGGGCAACCTGAGCATCCTTTATAGCTGGTTCGTGGATGCCAGGCGCTCAAGGTTGCGCGGTTTTGCAGGATTTGGGGTTTCAGGTTCAGGGGCTGCAACCTGATCTAAATTGCCTGGGTTTCTGAGTTTTGTTGTCGGGTTTTATCAGACATGTGTGTGGTTTGGAGGGGTTGTAGGGGTCTATGCGGCTTTGTATTTCCCTATGAGGAATCGTAGTAGGCAGCTTCATGGCTTGACGTAGATGCTTGTTTCGGCTCCCCGAAGCGTTTCGAAGGGCCGATAGGCGTTTGGGGTTCAGGTCCGTTGGGGTTGAAAAGGATTACTGTGGGGTTCAAAGACGCTACCACAATCCTAAACAACTGCAATCCTGGAGCCCTAAGACTTAACATCACTTAAGGCTAAACAAGCCCCTAGACTGAAACCTGAAAAACTTTTTCTAGGTCTTCCAGTGTGCCCTTTCCCCTTTGATTAATATAGGGGCCTTAATTTGCGGCCTTAATGATTAAAATAGGGTTTAGGGGTATGTACTACGATAATTATAATAAGGAGCCCACAAAACCCTATTCCAATTATTAAGGCCCCTACATTAGGGTCTGCCGGGTCGCCTCCTCCGTTGCTGCGGAGGTCGGGGCTCTAAGGTTTAGGGATTTGGGCTCCAGGGTTTAAGGTTTTAGGGCTCTTGTGTTTTGGAGTTTTAGGGTTTTGGGCGTTAGGGTCTCGCGATAGAGACCCTGGTAAGTAGAATTTAGGGGTGTTGGGGTAGATTCTGTCAATAACAATAGAGGGACATAGGGGCCTTTAGAATCGGTTGTGAGAAGTTTTTTGCAGGGTTTCGATACAGCAGTATATGGGGACCTACATACTTACAATAGGGATTTGGGGTGCATGATCATTCTTTTATACGTAGTGCAGGGGACACTGAACTCAAGGAGCCCGGCGGTGGCAATCCGACATACCCAAGGGTGGTGTTTCGCGCATGTTTGGGAGCCAATTGCTTAGTAGTGTTTACGAGACAATGGCCTGATACCAGAAGTCGACGGGCTGTAATACAGGGGCCTAAATAATTACCAATACTATTTTGGGGGTTCCTTATTATAAGTGTAGTATAATGGGCCCCAAACTCCTATTCTGATTGTTGAGGCCCTTACAGTACATGACGGACTTCTAGCCGGAAGAACGGGCGGGCGGCTGGAGTCCATAGCCCTTAAAGACGGTTTACGGCTTAGGGTTTCGAAGAGGAGCTGGATCTTCAGGGTTCGGGTGGGTTCGGGTTCAGGGTTCAGGTACGTGAAAGGGTTCCGAAGGTTGCAATAAGCACGCTGTAAGGGTTCAGCAGCGGGGTTTCTGAAGGGCTCTTTCAAGGTTAGAGAAGGAACAGCTTGTAAATTATTGAGGGAGTTCCAGAATTGCTGGATTTGTGTATCCCTAAGCCCTAAACCCTACGCCCTAAACCCTAAGCCCCAAAACCCTGAACCCTAAGCCCGAAACCTTACCTAAGCCTCAAACCCGAGGCTCTAAACCCTATACCCTAATTTGCCGAGCGGGAAAACCTAAACCCTAAATCCTACCTGGACCCCAAAAGCATGCAGAATGATAGCTTTTTATGAATTTTGGGCCGTTATATTGCTTGCGTTGGGGGTCTAGGTAAGCCTTAAACACTAAACCCCTAAGCCCTAAACCTTAAACCCCACACCCCTAAACCCTAACACCTAAACCCCAAACCCTAAACCCTATAACCCCACACCGCTAAACCCTAAAACCCCAACCCCAACCTCAAACCTCCACTGGAGCTTACTGAGGCTATGGGCGTGTTGGGAGTGACCGCCTACTCGTACGACGACCTGCGGGGGGCCCATTCTCCCTTAAACCAGGGTTTAGGGCTTAGTAGTAGTAGTAGTAGTAGTAGTAGTAGTAGTAGTAGTAGTAGAGTAGTGGCTGTGACCCTTGCTGGTCTACTAAAGTCCCTGCGCAGTCCCAAAGGATGACCTCAAGCACCCCTAGGAAAGTGATCGAGTAACCACTTAAACCCACGTAGAATTCGCAAATATCACCCTTGCAATAATTCTGTCTTACAGTTGAGGTCACTCTGGAGAGGCCAATGACCAAGCATTGGTTGTAAGTATATAAACCCTAAACCCTATAAACCCTATAAACCCTAAACACCCTACACCCAAAGCCCAAAACCCTAAACCCTAAACCCTATAAGCCCTGAACCCTTCATGGGGAGCTGTGCCTGGCATTTCTGTGACCAAAACGCGAACCCAACAAGGCTGCACCGTCAGTCCGACCCAGTTCTAGGATTATTATAGTCCATACACGTGTATTTTCTATCTGTATATATATATATGCATACGTATATACAAACCCTAAACCCAGATAGGTAGATAGATAGATAGATAGATAGATAGATAGATGGATAGATAAATAGATAGATAGATAGATAGATAACAGAACTGTACCATCATGTACCTAGAACCCTTGGGAATAGAAACCATCGTGTACCCTAAGCCCTTCAGAATAGAACTGTGCCGTCATGTACTGGGTACCCTGAACCCTTAAGGCTACAGACAGGAGACCCCAAAATAAGGAGGCTCCTAACTTTCAGATTTGTTTAGGGTTTCGGGTGTAACGACACCCCGACGAGTCTCAGGCCTGTGGACAAAAGCTCGGATGCCTGGGCTACGGTGATCGACGGCGATGCGAGACGGAGGGCACTCCAAGGCATCGCAATAAGCACCGACAAAAGGGAGGTTAGGTGTTTGTTGTGGGTTTTAGGGTTGAGGGTTGGGGGTTGAGGGTTAGGGGAACATGTAGTAGGCAATAAGATCCCACCCGGGCTCGAAGCATCGAACAGGAGCGAATGGAAGGCCTAGGATTCAGGGGTTTTCGGGTTTAGGGTTTTCCTTAACCCCAACGAACCTACCGTTTTAAGGACATAGATAGGAAATCATAATGAGGAGCTCAAAAAAGGCAGGTTTTATAGAGTCTAGGTAGGAATTTAGGGGTTTGGGATCCCGGGGCTTAGAGTTCAGGAGTCTCCGGTTTGGGGGGGTGTACTGTTTGCTGGTTGAAGGGGCTTAGGGTTTGTAGAGCTGTAACAGTGACTCGAATTATTTGAGATTTGAAGGTTTTGTCTCACAATCAACAGGTTACAGCACGAGTCTTTGAGGTTTGGGTTGCGGGTGTCGGCTTACGAGGTCCTTCAGCGTCTAGGTTCTTCCTTTTTCGGTGCTTCTGTTCCCATTTTCTGAAACAGTCTACGCTTTTCTCCGGGTGTTCGCCGGATGCCGCAGTTCGGTGTTGAGCGACGTTTAGAGTTTTTGTACACGGGCTGTTCAGCTGGGTGTGAAGTTTTGTGTGTGAGAGAGAGAGGAGGTGTGTGTGCGTGTTGCTGCGCTTGTGCGCGCAAGGAATAGGGCAAGCGTGCTGTAGACGTCTTCGTACCTGGCTACATTCGTCTGTTCGTCCACATGCACACTTGCCAGCATAGTCCTAGCACTGAACATGACTGGAATGGACCCTGTAATCCATTGCACCCTGAGCCCCATATCTCGAACGCGTCCTCAGCCCTAACGAACATACAGTAGCAAACTTGATCAAGTATAACCCCAATAACAATGCCTGCAAAGCCAGCTTGCCGTTGCAGATAAGGGTGGTTTTCCAGTTGACACCAAATAGCCTCCCTTCGTGTATCCGCCATCCGGATATGTCGCTCATAGCACGACAAACCATAAGTCCCAGAACTCCTTTTGCACTCTTGCCACCTGAAGCCACAAGCCAAAACCCCAAACCCATGATCTTTAAACCTATGCCTAAGTCTAAGGTTAGACGTATGGGCCCCTACGATGGACCCTTAGGCCTTTCTAGGGACCCTTAAGGGTACACATAGAGTATGTAGTAGGTGTATCAGGATCCCAGGGTTAAGGGCCCATACGAGGGGCCCTGGGTTCAACCTTAGACTAAGCCGTTCTTAACCATCAATGCCCCAAAGCAATTTCCCTTAGGCTCCCCATGCCAGAAAGTGTATACTTAGGCCTTTTTTCGGGGTCCCTATACACGTACTGAAAGGCTTTACGTGTTTACTATATAGGTACATGGAGCCTTAGGGCTTGAGGGCTTTAGAGTTTACGGTTTAGAGTTTAGGGCTTACGGTTTAGAGTTTGGGTTTTTTAGGGTTTAGGGCTTGCGGTTTAGAGTTTAGGGCTTCCGGGTTAAGGTTTAGGGCTTAGGGTTTAAAGGGTCTAGAGTCTTCATATCCGTGCCAGGTCGGACTGGTATGGCGGCTCGGCAAAGGTTGGGTATCCGGCCTGTGGTCGGTGTTAGGACGGTTTGGGGTTGACGGTTTAGGGTATGTAACCAGGGTTCCAGATTTAGAATTGTTTTGAGGGTTTGAGGTTTTCAGGTTCTGCAGGGTTTCTTTCAGGTTCTGGTGTCTACGGGTTTGGGGTTTGCATGCTAGTTAGGGTTTGAGGGTCTGGGGGTCTAGGGTTTGGGATTGACGGCTTTTGCGGTGCAGTTTGTAGGGCAGCTGCAGTTTCATAGGGCTAGGGTTTTGCATTTAAGGGCTTTGGGGTTTAAGGATGTACGGTTTCGGAGTTTTGGTTTCAGGGTTTAGGCCTCTAACACGGAGGCCGGAATAATTACCAAGCTCAAAAGCAGTTAAGAACCATACTTTGGAAGTCTTGGTAGCTGCTCGGGGCGTTCGAAACCATTGCATGTTTTTTTTTTTTGTATAGGGGTCTGAGTGATCAAATTTGTTTTGGCACTTATCGCCTTATATATATAAACAATATATATATATATACATAC